AGGTATTTTTGGGATGTTTTTAGGATGACTGAGGTTTTTTTGGGGTGCATTTGGGGTCCCCCATGTCAATGGTTTGGACATAGTGCGGGTGCCCATGGACATGGTACCCTGGGGGTATTTTTGGGGTTTTTTGGGGTGACTTTGGGGTTTTTTGGGGTGGTTTGGGATGTCTTGGGTGGTTTGGGGTGACTCAGGTGTTTTTGGGGTGTTTTTAGGATGCCTGAGGTTTTTTTTGGGGTGCTTTTGGGGTCCCCATGTGAACAGAGCTGGGACACTGTGGGTACCCATGGCCGTGTTGCACCAGGGGAGTTTTTTGGGGTGACTGAGGTGTTTTGGGGGGATTTTTTGGGTGTTTTTGGGGTGGTTTGGGATGTCTTGGGTGGTTTGGGGTGACTCAGGTGTTTTTGGGGTGTTTTTAGGATGATTCAGGTGTTTTTTTGGGGTGACTCAGGTGTTTTTGGGGTGACTCGGGTGTTTTTTAGGATGACTCAGGTGTTTTTGGGGTGACTCAGGTGTTTTTGGGGTCCCCAGGTGAACGGCCTGGACACCGTGCGGGTTCCCATGGACGTGGTTCAGTTCCTGCACCCCAAAACCAAACGCTTCCGCCATTGGCAGCAGCAGCAGCAGCAGCAGCTGGAGAGCAGCAGGGAGAGGCTCCTCTGACCCCCCCTGAAGATTTGGGGGTCCCCGGGGTGGATTTGGGGGTCCCCGGGGTGGATTTGGGGTCCCCAGAATGGATTTGGGGTCTCCAGAATGAATTTGGGGTCCCTGGGATGGATTTGGGGTCCCCAGAATGGATTTGGGGTTCCCAGAATGGATTTGGGGCCCTTTTGGGACCCTTTGGAAAATGGAGTTCAGTGGAATTTTGGGGGGCTGTGGAATTCCTTTGAGACCCTCAGGACCCCCCCTTGAACCCCAAAATCCTGGATTTGGGGTCCTTGTAATCGATTTGGGGTCCCTGGGATGGATTTGGGGTCCCTGGGATGGATTTGGGGTCTCCAGAATGGATTTTGGGTCTCAGGGATGGGTTTGGGGTCCCCAGAATGGATTTGGGGTCCCCGGGGTGGATTTGGGGTCCCTGGGATGGATTTGGGGTCTCCAGAATGAATTTGGGGTCCCTGGGATGGATTTGGGGTCCCCAGGGTGAATTTGGGGTCCCCAGAATGGATTTAGGGGTTCCCCCCTTTTTTGGGAACCTGTGGGATTTCCCAAAGGAATCCACCATAAAAGGGGATCAGGAATTTTTTTGGGACATCCCAAAATTTTTTTTTGGGGGGGGGGATCCCAAAGTTTTTTGGGGTCTCAGAGATTTTGGGGGGGGATCTGGGAATTTTGGGGAGCTGTAGGATTTGGGGGAAG